TATCTATAAATGATATGTATACATACGATATAAATAAGTTGTATATTGATAAACACTGGGTGAGATGTGAGCATACGATGCCCATGTAATGGATCGAAACGAATGAAAACAAAAAATGAAACGACTGCGCGGGGACGGACTCCGTTCGAGTCTTTCAGATTATTTGGTGTTTTGCATGTGATCACATCAAAGCGATCAGTTCAGTTACACTGAGATTCCAATCCGAGCTTGAAAATAAAGCAACAGTCTGATTGTAAAGAAATTCAAGACGACACGACGAGATGCGTTCGCTCAGAATGCAGCAAATTTATTTATTTTACTTACAGTTAGGTGAATGCTCGACCAGTGAATTCAAAATTCTTCACGTGCAAAAGCTTTATTCATTCATTGTCATAATCATCGCAATCACTATCAGTAAATATATTGTTGAATAATGATATTATCCATGCAAACGATTAATTTATGTATTATTACCATGATACACAGTTATTTCAACACTATATTGTGCAATTATAATATATGGAATGTTTTATAAATAGGGAATTACCACATTTGCAATGTAAAATTGAAATGTTGAATAAATGCAAAAACGGAAAGCATTGCTTTTACAAGAAATACAACATTGAATGTTCAGGAAGTTGGATATGACAGTTTCGAACGGATAGTGGAATGGGGGATGAATGCTTTGGATTATTGCACATTGTACGGTGTGAACAAATAATTGATTGTGCCCATTGCTTCTCATTTGATCAACGAAGTATCTAACCAAACAATTCACGAGATCGACCTCTTCGTTGCCTTGAGATTAGATCAATTTCGGTTTGTGGTGCAAGTTGTGGTAGTTCATTTGAGATCTTCAATGACTTCATCAAATATGGTGAAAATATTCCTCGATGTTCAACGTCGCCAGACAGACGAAGATCGTTCACATTCGATCGAATTTCCAATGGCAACCATTTCTGGGAGTCATCCAAAATGGCTGAACTTGTTAGTTTCGAATCACCGTTCGTGTTGAAGGCCTCATTTGAGTTATTCTCATCCATCGCTATCCCTACGGATCGTTTTCCAAATAGTTCTCTTCCTGAAATATTCAACTGTTTTGTTGGATATTTTCGATGAATGTATAAAAAATGAACGAAATGCTGCCTCAAAATACGATCTGTGATTGAATGCTTGGAAACCACTGAAAATTTTAAACGTGATGGATTACGTTGAACATTTGAAATCAAGTCGAATGAATACGAGTTTATTCATTGTCAGAAAAAATTTTTCCGTTTCTAGTTGCACTCTCCTCTTGAGGGAAACCGATAGCCATATTTCTTCAACAAAATCCATGCAATTAATTTGTAAGTTTGCATAAACAGTGATGTTCTCAAAAACTTCCGAAGTTTCTCTCACAGGTAAACAGCGCTTAACATTAAGTACTATTTACTCGGGTCCCGAAAGGGCTCCTTCAACTCATTCATCTCTAAACCGGATATTGCAAAGCTGCCTCTAGGACAACTGCCTCGGGACAACCACCCACGGAAAGATATGCCACCCAGACAGCTGACCCAGATGGTTTATGTCAACCTAATTGCCATACTGGACCTCTGTTCATGGCTAGCCTCAGCCTCAGCCAAGATTCGGCCGCGAGCTCCGGTTGAACATAAGCATAAGCCTAGCATCAACCTAAGCCTAGGCTTTCACATCAGTCTCAGTCTGAGCCTTCGTTTCAGCCTCAATCTAAGCCTAAGCATAAACTTCAGTCTCATAGTCAGTGTGATTCTGAGCCGAGGGCTAAAAATAAAAGTGTCACTAACATGACTATAATATAACAATGATGGCTGTAGTAATCGAAAGAATTTATATTTACGAAGATAAATATTGTGGAGACAGTTGTCAAAGGACCGTTGTCCCGGGGCAATTATCCGGGATGAAGTTATCCTTGGATGCAGCAGTCCCCAAGGGCACTGTTTTTGAGAGCAACTTTTCGAGGGCTGTTGTTCCCGAGTCACTAGTCCGAGCACCTGCAAAATTGTATCGAATCTCCTTACCTCGTTTAATGCTCCTTTCTGTACGCATGTAACCACCACTGAGTCGATTGGCTAATGCAGCTAATAAATTCGATTCCTGCCATGGTAATGGTCTTTCGTTAAATAATAACTCATGGAATTGTTGATCAGCACACAGAATTTGCTCGATTGAAATCAACAATATGGCTGATCGAAGTGCTGATAGTGTGATCACTCTTCTGTTGAACATACTGGTGATAGTGACGGTGACAATGAACAACTGAAACAAATAGCAAAAAAGTTGGATGAAATGAAATGTTTGCTGAGAATAAAGCCGAATGAAACGTTTCGGTTGTGGATTCGTTTGTTTGCGTAACAGAGTTGATTGACTGAGGTGAAATGAACTAAATGTGATGATGACACGTTGAGAAATGGTAATGAAGAAGAGACGAATGGAAATGCTCTCACATTTTATCCTCTTTTATAGAATTTCATTTCAGTTTCATTCGTTCAGTAAACGAATGACGACACATTTAAATGTTGTTGATATCATTAAAAAATCAGATATGCATATCATGAAATTTTTAGCGCATAGGTGGTTGGTTGCTTGGTT